AGATATATTTTTTTAAATATACCCGTCAAATAAAATCTAAAGACTAGCCTTAGATATTCAAGATTTCTATTAACATGGTCAATGTCTACCATATTACCGTGACTCATGTTACTGTACAATCGACTTTCATTTTCATGGTTGCCAGTTCAATGCTCACATAATGGCAATAAAGTTTTCTAAAAAACCCTGCCTTCCTAGAGCGTTTCCCAAAAACCTGTGATTAGAATTTACGTGATTAGGATAATGAATTCTCTCCGTAATAATTTTTATCTCCCTATCAGGTACAAAGTAGGTGAGGTCAGCAAAAGGTTTTTTTTATTTATCTACTAATTTATGTATATACTATGGCCGTGGGGTCTAGTAGATAAATAATGATCCGCTAAAATTGTACAGATTTACGGGACAGGCTCGCTAATGTATCAGCACATGAGGATCTTTTTGCTTGTGATTGTTTTTTCGGACACCCTACATACTCGTAGATATACAATTCACATGTAAGTGGGGATCACTCAGTATAATATATTTTTTTGACATCTCATACTAATATTATAAATGTTATAAATGTAAAATTGTGTTTGTTTGTTTTTTTTGTTTGTTTGGTTGTTTATTTGTCTTTAACGTTGAAACGGAGTGTCGGATTGGCGTAATGTTTTGTTTGGAGATAGTTGAAGGGCTGAAGAGTGACATAGGCTACTTTTTACGCGGGAGAAAACACGTTATAATACAATCTAAAAAACTATTTATGATTACAATTACTTGAAACTTGGTATTAATGCTCTTCAATAAAATTAAATAAATATGTTGGGACATTAACACACTGCACCATCTAGTTCCATGGTTAGCTACGAGGCTTGAGTTATGGATACCAGATAGTTGATACACTACACATATATTACTTTAAAAGTTTAAATATACACATATTATAAATATTAACACCCATGCTTGGAGTACAAACATTCGTGATTATCACACAAATGGATGCCCCCAGCAGGACTCGAACCCGCGATCGCTGGCACAGCAAGTAGGGTCACTACAAACTAAGCCAAACGTGTCGTGACATCCTGTTCTTTCACACATATTCGTATATTCTTAGTACCACTCCTAATTTTAAGGTATATAGTCCGAAATGTTCCAACGAAGGTGCTTATTACCAACGTATGTATATAATATATATATCGTCGCTGCGCCTGCAAAATGCGCTATGTATTTTTTTTTGAAAATCGGTTTTTAATGCCAGTTTATACTACTTCTTAATCCACGTGTATCTGTAAAATCCGTTTTTGAATAACTCATTTGGTTAAGAAGATAGCAAAATCAGCTATGTAATTTTGATGAAAAACGGACTTGAAAAATCCTCTATATGTGCAGGAGGCACATAGCGTATTTTTGTTTCAAAGCGAGTCCCTTAGAATTGCGCTTTGAAATGATACATAGCGGGTTTGTCATACAGAAGAAACAGCACGTGGCAGGTGGTGCACTGTTTTTCAGATCGTATTTTATATCAATTAAATAGCTTTAGGTGTTAGATAGTGCATATAAGTTACAAAACTGGTTATACATACCTGGTTTGGCAAACTTTGAAATACCAAGTACTAATATTTCGAATTTCAATATTATTGACCCTGTAGAAGAAAAACTATCGATTGCACGTGACTCAACGTTCACTGAATTTCATGAATCGAACCAGCATCAACTTAATAGTGTTCAGATGTAAATAGCGTTTGATTCTGGTGATTGTTCTGATCAGAATATAGTAGTTTATCCACTTCATATGTCACCACCATTACTTCCATTTTCTAACGACCAATCCTTGGATGTATAAAAAATACAGAGCCCAGGTACTTAATTCAAGCTCCTGTTGTTTATTGCTGAACCCTGAGACAGGGTTGTTAGAAGAAGACTGGCAGGTAGAAGAATCTAATAATAATCAGAGTAATAACTTAACATCTATTAAGAATAAGAGGAAGAACAACCAGGCTCTTTAATTACATGGCAAAGAATACAAAGAGCGGGGGGAACTGTGATCGAGACTGAGAAGTCTAAAAGATAACTAAAGCCCGTACCTTGTAATTATGGTACTGTAGGCATTTCTGACAGGTCTTTTCTTTGCGGGTCTGTAACCGATTAAGCCCGTAAAGATATTTTTGATTATTTCTGGTCGTTGACATCTTGGGAATCTAAAAAGGCCTCGTACTGGGTTCGACTGCAGTTCGAAATATAATAAAAAGAAGAACCATAACCACAACTGAAAATCGTACATCAAAACGAAAAAATACTGGTGTCGATTGTTTTTTGCCAAGAGAAAATGGCGTTAAAGTAAGAGTCTGTAGAGATTTATTTTTGGCCATTTTGGATACTACGAAAGAAACCTCTACAGATTGGACCAAAGCTAAAAGATGTCATACAACCAAAAGTATACCTGCCATTCATGATAAGGTTAGTACCTCAAACAAGAGAATTTTAAAGTCAGACTGTCGTACAATGGTTAGATGAGTTAGCTAAGGTACCCAGTCATTATTGCCACTCGTCTTCATCAAGAACGTACATGGATGATGCATTGCATTCAAAGACAAAAATGCACGAGGTTTACGTTTCCTAATGTCAATCTACCTCTTTGGAATTCGTCCAAAGAAAGAAATCTTGCGAGATTTTAAGAAGTAAGAAAATTTCTATATATAAGCCACGGAAGGATCAATTTGATACTTGCGTATCTTACAAAGAAAGAAACTTAAGCGAAGAAGCGTATCAAACACATATATAAATAAAGAATGAGGCTCGAGAAGCGAAAAAAATAGCCATAGATTCGTTATCTGATGAACATTGTGTATGACAATGTATTTACAAAGTATCCAATTATGTCCCAAGTTATTAGTATCCTGCCAGTACTACAAAAAAAACTTCAACTTCATATTTTCACAATATATATTAATAACACAAGAGATGTACTTGTGTTTGTTTGGCACGAAGGCGACGGTGGTGTTACATGTAATAAATTTTTTACATGCATCGTAGCATTTGTGGAGCTTTAAACCACCAAAGGCTATACAAAAATGAGTCTCATATCAGATGGTTGTGGTTACCAAAACTGGAATAATGTTTTGTCTAGTGCTTTGGTAGACGTTTCGAAGCTAAAGTCGGTTGAAATTCAACAAATCATCTTAGAAAAAGGGCACACCATGATGGAGGTTGACAGTGTCCATTTGAGTTTAGAGAAATTCTTACTCCACCGTTATACACACCTGCAGATTATGTCGCATGCATACGGAAAGCGAGGCCAAGTCAACTATTATAAAACATGTAGACTATACCTTTTTTAGGAACTTTGAAGCTGTGCCTAGCAATTTTTCATCGATTCGTCCCGGTAAAAGAGCAGGCGATCCCACAGTTGCCGATATAAGATCATTGTCGTATGTGAACGGTGATACCTATTATAAATTAAGACATCATGACACTCAATGGACCTTGTTGTCACAAAGAAGAAAGGCTGATCTGTACGAGGAGCTCGGTGTTTGTTTACTAAGCCGAAAAAAATTGAAAAAACTAAATTTCATAGTTTTCAGTCCTTGAAACCTTTAATGCATCGAAATAATCACTTTTTTATGTCAATTTATCTTTTTTATTTATCTAAAACTAGTTTTGATTACTATGTTTAGTACCTACTTTTTACTTAGTTACAAATTGATCTCAAAGTTTGCCAAATATTTAAGTGTACCTAACAATGAATGTGATTTGATTTGATCTGTTCATATTATACGAGAGTGTTGTTATATTATAGAGATTTAGAACGATTGTTTTATTATGTTACTTATTATTTTTTAGTTTATATAATTTTATGTTTCTTGTGATAACTAACTCATCCGTTAATTAATACCTACTGCTGCAATTTATTTTATTAATATTATGTTACATTTTTAAATACCTATTTTGTTCATAACTACCTAGGCATGCTAAGCTGTTTAGAGGTATCACTATTTTAGGCTGTTTTGATTTATTTTGTTAATTATTTTTCTAATTAAGTATAATAAATACTATTTAAGCGAACTTAAACTTATCTTATTATTTAAAAATAGTTTGTTAAATCCGTTATGTGTTCAAGAAAGCACACAAATGTTTATTATTTAGAAGAATCATAAATCCGTCATGTGGTGAAAAGTCAAATAGCGGTATTTACGACCCAAATAAAATCCGATATGTGCCCAAATTCACTTAAAAAAATTCTAGCACCTGGAATATCATAGTAAACAGCAGTAAATATATATTTCTAGGTATCCAGACACAAAGTCTAATTTTCTGCATAGTAAATTTTAAAATGTTATTAACAGTTTAGAAAAAAAATAGTTTTTGTTTCTCCTGAAAAGTTGGGTTTTTATCCATAGCGGATTTTGCAGGCTCAGCGACGATATGTATTGTATATTATGCAAATAATTTATGATTACTTACGAGTATTACCTTTTTATGCTTGAAGATATTAAATTCTGTTAATATATTAAGTGCTCAGAGGGTCGTCAGATGGTATAAATTTTATTTACGACTTGATTTATTATTATGACATCAACGACGTAGGAATAGTCGTTTTTGCTCATATTAAAGTTACAGTTACAGAAAATTATAAAAAAAATTGGCATAGATATATATATGTTTGTATTTTAAAGTTTCATCGTGGAAGTTCAAGATATACACCAAATAAATAATAAATTGTAAAGAAAATAAAATAAATCTAATTTATTTTAGCTGTTGATAATAAAATTAATCATGGACTATTCAGCTAATTCCTATAGTCTTTATAATGCACAAAAACCTAATACATCTGACTAAGAATAAATCGTTTTTTAACCTTTGCTGTGATGTTAAAGGAGTTTATTTTTGTGAAATCCTGTGGGTGAGCTAAAGGAAATTTAATTAAATCTCTAGATTGTCCATTAAGATTATAGAAGCCTCAACGAGATGGAATATTAGAAAAGTAATAATAAAGGAACAGACAATCTTAACGGGCTTTATTACGCAGTTATTTGAATATGATGTTTAAGATTATGCAGGAAATTTCTGGTTTCCTCTTTAATAATTTGCCCAACACTCGATTTTACACTGGATCGCCGCCCACTGCGACGTTGCGGAGGTGGATCGTCGAGGAGTTTCAAAGTTTTCATTGAAGCCACATTAAGCATGAAATTAATGGCAGTTGGGTTTTTGTAACATTTACCAATTAGAGGTTGGATGGTCACATCTGAAAAAAATAATTTGTTATACATACTATATGTTTTTGTAGTAATAAAAATATTTGCATATGAGCTCGAAGTCAAGTATTCTAGTCCAGTTCAGTAAAAAACAAAGTCAATATATTTTTTATCCATCACACAATATTATCCATATTTTCTAGTACGTTCACTACCAATATAGAAAAATATATCTCAGACATGAAATCAAGTGGCGAAACAAATTCAGAAGTCCACTTTTTTATTAACGTATTTATAAATAGTTTATCGTGTATATATATATATATATAAATATAGAAAGTATTTATATATTTATTATATTATATTTATATATTTATTATATGAAACAACTACTTACTCACACCAACCACGCAGGAGTATAAGTCGATATGACAATGGTTTATCATTGGTCTGTAGACGTAGGTTTGCATATTACGTGACCATATCTGCGCACACGCAGGATCGTAGATATCCAGGCAATAGGTGGGGCATGTGTGGTTACACGCTTGATGCGCACCCACAATGCTGAAGTCTATTAATCTACGCGAACTCACGTAGTAAAATTTAGGTTTTATAATCTGGCACGCTTCATCAGGAACTTGATTGATGCCTTAAATTTATATTAGTAACCATTTATATAACGTATGGATTTCCCAACATAAAAAATGCTGATTTACAATTTTAACTTTATTATAATTTCTTTTATTATTGTTTCAAAATAATGACATTCTTATAAAATACTTTTTAAAGTATACTCGTACCTACTGATAAAGTTACATCTTTAAACTTATAACATTACTTTTTTCCATAAAATATACAAACCTGCGAAACTATACTGACATTGTGCTAATTTCAGATAGCAAATATTATGAAACTTATGAACATGCCTTGAATGGTCGAAAGCTAATGCTTCGCCACACACTGGATCGTATACGTTTGAACACAATATGTTATTACATTCTTCAGGCACAAATGATTCCACTGACTCTACACCAAAAATTGAAAGTCTATTAATATAGTAAATATTTGTAATTAAATTTTAATATAAATTTTTGGAATTTTTACATTTTAATATTGTTGAAAAACTTGTAATCTTAAAAACATACCCCACTTAGTATTATAAACTATCAGAAAATGTTGTGTAAGTACAATAACTAAGTAATAAAAAGCAAATAGTTATGTAAGTTTCAAGAATAATATTTCTACGAAAAAATATACCTTGAGATATACAAAATAATAGTGCAATGAAAAATGTACATCTTTTTAAAGAAGTTATTAAATCCGTGTACATTGTGCAACCATTCTTATACCACTACTCAGTTTTACATTTTAATTCCAGAAAAGAACAGCATTTTTATGTTCATTCTTTACGGTTATTATTTAATTAAAATTTTAGTGCATCGTTCTGTTCATATTTTAACTTTGTCAGTTTTTCCTTTGCTTAGTTTCATGTCATGCTCAATTATAATTTTAATTAATGCTAGATTGTACCTTTGACTTTACAAACAATTTTTATTTAATTTTAAGTAAAATATTAGAAAAAAATAAAACTTTATTTATGAAGTAGCTGTAAAGTTTGTCAACTTGACACATAAACCAATTTTATTATCAGACTAGTTACATGCCACCAAAGTTATATTCTATACCAAAACCTAAATGGATGTGGAATTCAAAAGCTTGAAGCTTCGATTACAATTCTTGAACGAAAAATACCGACACAAATGAAGCAAGTTAAATAAATAAATGTTCATCTATGACAGTGGTAGTCCAGTAGTAACGTGTTTGCTTGGGAAACAAAGACAAGCGGGTTTAACTCTCACCTCTGATATTTTCATGTGCGAATCATTTTTAATATGATGACTCACGGTGAAGGACAAACTCGAGAGGAAACCTGCATGTCGGAGAGAATCTTAAAAGTTTTCAAAAAGTCTGACTAGGCTTAATCATTGTTATATTGAAGAAAAAACCGTGCCCAACTGTGGGACGTCAAAAAAGGCTGAATACATATGTGCCTACATACAAATGTTCATCTAAAAAAAATTACGTATATAATATACGAAAGGAAAAATAATAATTAATTGGTGTGGACCCGTGTGTTGTTCAGAGACTAAACATCTTCATCTCCCTGCCAATTTCCCAATTTACTTAGGGTCGGCGCAATAAGTCTTCCTCTTCCACTCTCTCCTATCACTCGTCGTCTTATCATTCATGATTCATCCCTTTGTTTTTCATGTCTTGTCTCACACAATTTATCCATCGAAAAGATGTCGATTGATCGACCGATGAAAAATCGGTCTTCCTCTACCTCTCCATCCATCTACATTCATTTCCATCACTATTCTCGTCACATGTGTTTCATCCCTTTTTTTCACATGTCCATACCAATTGAGACGATTTCTTGTCACGTTAAAACTCTGTCACTGGCGCTACTTTCAAGCCTTCCTCTTATGTACTATTCCTTATTTTATCCATTCTCGTCACTCGACACATCCATCTTAACATTCTTATGTCTGCAGCATGCAATCTTCTTTCATCAGTCTTCTTCGCAGCCTAGCATTTTGATCCATACATAAGGACAGGTCTTATTACGGATTTATAGATCTTACCTGAAGGGTAAGTCTTACTTAAGGGGCTCGCTGCGATCTGTCGCTATTTCATCCACCCAGAGATGATCCGACGCATAACGTCCCGGTTGTTTGTTTGAACGCACTAATTTCGTGAACTACTGATCTGATTTGATAAATTCTTTTTGCATTAGATAGCCAGTTTATTGAGGAAGGCTATGGGCTATATATCATCATGCTACTACCCAAGGGAGCGGAGCAGTAATCATAAATGCCAACAAATCGGGCAGACTTCTATACATGTGTAGCGAGGGTGAATTGCTAAATAACATAAAGTCAAAGGGTTTTTTATAGACTGAACGCGGGCGAAGCCGCGGGCTTTGCTAGTATAAGATATAAATTAACTGTAAGATTGTATGATGGTACTTAGCATGTATCGGGTATTTGTCAGTGAAGAAGTGGGGTGAAATAAATCTGCTTCGCTAATCGCTATAAAAAATCTACTGCAAATATAATAGTAGGGGAGCCCAAGAGGGGATTTTTGTAGTTACTCAAGCGCGGCAGATTAACATAAAAGATGTTACCTTGCACTCTATTGAGTACTTTCACCATAATATAAGTCTTCTATATAAAGGCGCGCGTCTAGGGAAGCCGATCAAAATATTTAAAAAATGTTTTGATAAGGTAGAAATACTTGAAACCGTCAGATTAAGGTGTGGTAGGCTAGTCACATCCTGAAAAGTGTCCAATTCAATAATCTGCCAATTTGCACAAGCCGAAGAGGCAAAAATCGACTATAAAGTTTATGATGTAAAAGCTTAAGATATTCACATATTTCTCATAAATTATATTTCCCATTTTTTATATTTTCTTTTCTTGATCATGATCATCGATTTAAATTTCTCTTTGAAGAAGATTGGTTTTTAATATTCCGCTTTGAAGTATTTTTTTACTTGACTTTCGGATATTGAAATAAAATACAGTAAAATCCGGAGTTTTGTTCATAAAAGATGGTGTTTGGTTTGAATAATTGAATTGCTTATACTTTGCATATCATTTATTATTCGAAGTTTGAATTAAATAGAAAATATGTATGTTTTGGTATAATACCAAGATATAAGGGGATAGTACTAACTTAATGAACCACTAAAACCTTTTTTTTACTTCTCCGTATCTTGGCTTGGATCGGGACTTTATTACTAAGCCTACGTTATTGAATCCTCGTCTGATCTATTTTTAATTTTTTGGAACTTATTATTCATTTGTACCCGACTGCGGCAAAGCCCAAACCTTATTTGCTTGACCTGTGTATTTATATATATATATATATATATATATATATATATATATATATATATATATATATATATGGTTAACGGTTACCGATACTCGCTGCTTTGTCTTAGATTCTTGTAACTTGTAAAGTTATTCAAGTACAATTGTAACTAATATACAGTGACGGATCAAGAGTTAATTTCGATGTGGGCAAAGTATATTTCGCGAGACCCTTTAATGGCGTACGACGACGAATTTTATAAAATATTTTACATGCTTTTATTTAACTTGCAATGTTTGTATATTCAAATCTTGCAATTGAATTTTAAAGCAGTTATCTTCAATCGATGGAACTGAAATTTTGCATAGACTTCTAGTTTGGACGACAATTCATGGTTAGCTAAGTGACGTCATTCTAAATCCTATAAGGCGGACTTCCAATGATTACGGACTAGTTTTTTTATGCACCCCCATGATATAGATATCATATGAAAAAGTTTGCTGAGAAAAATACGAATTAAATAAAAACAAAATAAATAAATGAATAGTACAAAAACAAAATGAACTTTAAATTAAACCCACTAATTTATTACATTACACAATTTATATTATATAAAATCTTGTCGCAAGATTTATTTGTGTGGACAAACAAAATGTCTCCGACTGCTTAATACTGTGTTCTATTTCATACGCTTTATGTTACGTGTTCTTCAAGGCGCGCGGCCCTTCGGACCGCGTGGCCGTGGGCAATGGCCCACGTCGCCCACGCCTTACGCCGCCTCTGCTAATATAATCTAACAATTATCAAAATGTCATAAAAATATTAGTGACATCAGGTTTCTAGAACTATTCAATTAAATAATACACAATCTGGTAAATTTAGTTATTAAGTAGTAAATTATTGTAAATACAAAAGTATGTTTGCTACTTCGTTCTTATTTCATGAGTAACAGGATAGCGATGGATTCACGTGATTTTTGCATATATATAGTTTGTGGGTCGTAGAGTGCTTTACATTTTATTCTATTATATTTAACATCTATTGATTTCTGTATAATAAAACTGTAACTTAGCAAAATCGATGCGCGCGTTTCACGCATAAAATACTGAACCGATTTTAGCTAAATTTTCTGTAGTGAAAATCTATTACTCCGGTCAATATTTAGGATACCTTTTACTACAGGAAAATCTTTCATTCTCACGGGAAAACACCATAACTGGTTTTATCGAGCCGTACTTAGAAAACTTGTCTAACGCTGGCTAAACCATGTAAACAAATTAAAACAATGTTCTAGAAAATTGTAGGTCTTAATAAGGCCTCCAGAAAAATCTGCAATAGCATAAGTCTTTCTCTTAAGGTACACTTGCAATATCGTACCTACCTAGGGAGTTAGGGACGCACTCGACCGAAGCGAAGGTAAGGCACTAGTGCTTTATAATTTTAGAGTACTTGCATGAGAATGTTATGAAATTATAGTAAGAAAATTACAATTGCTTATGAACGGAGACACATTAGACTCAGGATTTTATAGAAATGATTAAGAAGATAATTTAAATTTCGTGAAAAA